GAACGCCGGACCCTCTTCGCGCTTCGGGGGAGCGAGGGGTGCGTCTCGCCTTGTGCACCCCCCCTCAGTGCAGAAGGGGTCCGGCGTTCCCGGAACGCTGGACCCCCTTTGCACTTCGGGGGAGCGAGGGGTGCGTCTCGCCTTGTCCCCCGCCCCCCCCGCCCGCCGCAGTGCGGAGGGGGTCCTGCACCGGACCCCCTTCGCGCTTCGGGGGAGCGAGGGGTGCGCAGGCTTCGTGTTGTGGTCATCGAGGGGGTGGGGCGGACCCCCCTCATCCCCCACAGCACAAAGGGGGTCCGGCGTTCCGGGAACGCCGGACCCCCTTCGTGCTATGCCCATCGTCGGATCGGATCTCGGACCCCCGTCCTCCCCCGCGGCACAAACGGGTCTGGCGTTCCCATCCTCCCCCGCCGCACATAGGGCGTCCGGCGTTCCGGGAACGCCGGACCCCCTTTGTGTTGTGGCCATTGATGGGCGCGGACGGACCCACTTCTTCCCCCGCAGCACAAAGGGGGTCCGGCGTTCCCGGAACGCTGGATCCCCTTGGAGCTCTTGCTGGTGACTGGGAGGGAGGGGGGCCCTTACTCTCTGGCAGCACCGATATGGGTCCGGCGTTCCCGGCCCTCGGTGCTGCTAGAAGGAGGGGGAGGAACGGACATGAAAGGGGTCTAGCGTTCCCGTCCTCCCCCGCCGCACATAGGGCATCCGGCGTTTCGGGAACGTGGGACCCCCTTTGTGCTGTGGCCATCGAGGGGCACGGACGGACCCACTTCTTCCCCCGCAGCACAAAGGGGGTCCGGCGTTCTCGGAACGCCGGATCCCCTTGGGGCTCTTGCCGGCGACGGGGAGGGAGGGGGCCCCTTACTCTCTGGCAGCACCGACATGGGTCCGGCGTTCCGGGAACGCCGAACACCCCTTGGTGCTGCTAGAGGGAGGGGGAGGGACGGACATGTGGTCGGGGGTCGGGCGTTCTCGGAACGCCGGACCCCCTTTCAGAAAGGAGGGTCGGGGGGGCGGGCGTCTAGGGAACGCCAGACCCCTTTCCAGAAACGAGGGTCGACTCCACATGCGAAGCGCTTCTGTTTGTTCCTCATTTGTTCTTTGCTTGTGCGTTTCCTCTGTTTGTGCCCTCTAGGTCAACCTGCTGCTTCGTCCTCTCGAGCATATGGCAGGTCAAAAATCTACAACAACAAACCATGGACTCTGGATTGGGTTGGTGGTCTGCATAGGCCTGGGTGTGGGGCCGTCGTCTTCTTGAGCGACGACAATGGTGCGACGTGGTACTGTTGTGGGGGTGTTGAGAAATCTGAGAGCGCCAGGAATACCTACGACGGGAGGACCTTCTGGACCTTCTTTCTTACGTCAGTTTTCGACAAGGATGGGAAAAATTGGGTCAAGGAAGACAAGAAGGTCGGCCTTGACTTGCGGCTCTTTCAAGGCTACGGCGTCAAGGCTTTCTCCATGAAAGCGTTTGACGTGCGCGGGGACGGCACCGAGCTTCGCATGCTGACTGCAGAACAGTTCCTCAGTAGAACGAACGGCTACCGCGTCACTGGCTACCTTCCTGTCGTTGAAAGTTCCTTGGAGCTCACCAAACCCTTGGTGAAATTCAGCAGCCCGGCGGACCAACTGCCAGGCGTTGTTAAGGAGTACANCCTTGCTGTTGATTTAATCCGAATATTTGACAAATAATTATAAAAAAATAACTTTAATAACTGAAAATTTTCGTCACTTGCCTCAGGCCTTTGGGAACAAGCCAGTAGGTTCACCCGARCCCASGTTACCGCAGCGTCTCTTTCCCTTCTTCCTCTAGGGAATTCTTTTATATTTTCTAATTATAAATTAAAGAAAATATATTTAGTTAGGATAAAATCTCTTTTTTAGTTTATATATATTAAGGATGAATACATATATAAGCCCGCCGAGTTTGAAGATTTTTAGGGGTAGAAATAAAATTTGGGGAATTTACTAAAATTTCGGCAGCGTTTCACCTCCCCCCGTTGGGATGGGGTTGGGGCGAAGCCCTCACACAGCGCTGCCGAAGGGGGAGTATCAAAAGGAATAATGCAAAAAAAGGAAATTTAATTTAATTTTTAAATATTTTGTTTATTAATTTGTAAAAATTTAAATTAAAACTTTTAAAAGTGAAAAATCGAAAAATTTCGACAGCAGTTTTTCTTCCCCCCCGTTGGGATGGGGTTCGGAAAAAAGTCCCTCAAAAGTAAAATAATTCTTAATTATTTAATTGAGCAAAACTTTCCGAATTAATTTCCACAATCTTGCGGGATATATTTAACAAAAAATAATCCGTAACAAATGCGGAAGCTAGAAGCTATGGCTTCCCTCTATCTACCCGCTTCTCTCAAAATTGGGGTTAGGACGTCACCCTAATTAGGGTTTCCCCTAATTAGGGTTTTGGGTTTTGCGCGCAACCGCACGAACACTGCAAAGCCCTGCTCGACGCGAGAAAAATTTTGTTAGCTTTCACTAGTTTTAGAAGAAAAACTTATTGGATTACATTTTTAAATTTCTTTTTTTTTTAATTTAAACAAAATTACAAAGAAATTCAATTTCCGGTTGATTTTCTTCCTCCTTTTCTATCTGTTGGAGCTCGTCATTTGTCCAAACGAAGTCCGTTTTCCCCGACTAGGGTCTCAAAACGTCGGGAAAAATACAGGGACCAACTTTGGCCCAACGGGGTTCCCCTAATTTCGCTTATTTTCCCGACCATTTCAAAAAAACGCAAATAAAAAATTTTAGAATTTTTAATTAGAAAATATAAAAAATTCCATATCTCTCTTTTTAGCCATTCGAATTTCTCAAAAAATATCTCAAAACGTTCGCCTCGACGAGAGGACGAACTTTGCTTCGGTGCGCCTCGCACGAAAGCGCGCGGATCAAGAGATATCGAGAAAAAACCAATTAAAAATTTCAACTCATGATTTTAGGGATTTTTAATTAGAAAAATATAAAAAATTTCATATCTTTTTTTTCTAGCCGTTAGAATTTTTCAAAAAACATCTTAAAACGTTCGCCTCAACGAGAGGGCGAACTTTGCTCCGGGCGCGGCTCGCACGAAAGCGCGCGGTTCGGGAGATATTTCAAAAAAACTAAATAAAATGATTATAAAAAATAAAACTAATCAGGAAAGCAAGTTAATTAGTGTTTGACAAATCAGCCCGTGCACCCCCGTTGGTTGGGGAAGGCCGTGGCCTTGGGGGTGCTGCTCCCCTCCCCGGCAACGGCGCGAAAGTTGTGAGGAAACCCCGGGAGGAGCTACCTACCGTTCGCTGAAGCCATGGACTACGGCGCCTGTCACTTCGCCGTGCCCGCTTCCGAGGTCCTCAGCGACCAGCAGGGTTGTCCCTTTCAGCAAGGTCACTCTTGGTCCTTAACCAAAGGTCATTTTAAGATCTTTTCCTTTGCGAAAATTTCACAGTAATCTCGGTCGGAATTGATCCCCTAGTGTCACGCAGGAATATTTAATCCTCTTACCGTTCTCTTCGGATCAGCTCACCTCCGCGCAATTAGAAGAGCGGTGAAGCCGCCAAAGAGGGAACGTTAGCTTTCATTTGGCAGAGAGCAAGGAGCCAATCAGGGTTCTTTTCAATGACTTCTCGAAAACGACATTTCCCGAAAATGATTTGTAGTCCAGTCCACAAGGTTCGGAGCGGCTAGCTAATCAAGGCTCTTTTCAATAATTTCTCGAAAATGATATTTCCAGAAAATAATTAGCTGTCCAGTTCACAAGACTCTGAGTGGCGAGCCAATCAAGGCTCTTTTCAATAATTTCTCAAAAATGATGTTTCCGGAAAATGATCTGCTGGCCAATTCCCAAGGCTCAAAGCAGTGAGCCAANATTCCCCGCGGGAATATTCTTTTCAACCACCGCTCTTTGTCTGCGAACATTGTGCGAGGCATCGTGAATGCCATCGAGAGTTCCATCACCACGGAACCGGGGGCGTGGGATAGGCCTGAGCTCGCGCTTGCGCCGGTTGACCGCAACGACATCGTTGGCGGGCAGGGCAGGCGGATAACACCGACCGAATTCTTCGAAAGAGACTCCTCGGAGTTCGATTGGTATGCTGTCTGTGGTCAGCATACGGTCGAGGCCATGAAGACATTGGTAAAAAATGGCTCTCCGGCAGTCGACGTCTATGGCCTTCGCGCGTACTCTAAGGTGCGGGTCATCTATTTTGGAGATGAGCAGACACGAGGGTATTTCAATGTCTCCGCCTTCGACAACACGCGCGAAAATCGGGCCATGATGTTGTCCTTCGAGGATGCTGTCCGTGATATGAGGCAATGGTGGATCGATAACCATCGAATCGAGGCCCCGAAAGGCAAGGTCAACGATAAGGATGCGGTCGCCGTTGCGCACCAAAAGAAGTGGCAGAATTTCTTAAGGGCCTCCATGGGGAAGGCATGCGACAAGGCGTTCGTGAAGCAGGCGCTCGAGAATGAGCATAGTAAGGATTGGAGCAATAAACTCCGTGGCTACATGAACCTTGCCACATCCACCGAGGCTGTGTGGCCACTGGTCGAGAAGTTCTTCGAGATGTTCAACGAGGGGAAGCTGYCAGTTGGCGATGGTAAAATATCGCTTGACATGCAGGGTAGGATGGAGGGGCGCCAGCCAGGCCCGTACACCGGCGAGATGAAGGGGCAAAGAACATTATACCATTGCATATACGCGAGAGATGCTCCCAAAGGCTCCACCGTGTAGTGGAAGGATCTCTGTCCTTCCTACTTCAAAAATTTTGGGGATTTGACGTGCCGGGAGAGGGAAGTTGCACTGCACCTCCTCATGAAAGGGAAGGTGGTCGCGACGAACGTCAAGGTCATGCCTCCGAGAGTGAATACGGAATGCCTCCTCGACATCATGCGCAAGGAACGGTACATGGTCCGTATGTTCAACTACGTTGTTTTTCGCGCCGAGGGAAGGGCGAACGATGAGTGGAATGATGCCTTATTCATGTCATACAAGGACCTCGAAGACAGGTATGGGCCGAACGGTCTGTGTGCAGCTGAATGGGAAAAGGAACGGGACAAGTTGCATGTCAGCAAAGTGAAGACGGTCCCTCGACGGCTTGAAGGGGTGGAGGAGGCAAGGCAACGATCAGGCTTGGGCCCTACGGCGGCAATGTATAAGGAGGCTCCGTTCCACTTTAAGGTGTTTGTATACACCTCAATCGATAAGCTCGATCTGCTTCGGGCGGAGGTCAAACGGGTCGCCTCCAGCGCACGTCATATCGTATGGGATAAACTTAAAAAACAAACAACATTGCTACCGGTGTGCATGTCATTGAAGGAAGTGCTGGCTGCGCCAGACGACATCGTCGCTGCGGCGCAAAAAATGACCTGCAGGGCCGTCATCCTTGACATCTCCCCCCCTAACTTCTGCACGACATGGACCTCTCAAGAGTTCGACGCTCTGCACTCTATGGTGACTAAGTGTTGTGGTTCTAATTAGGTTCTTTTTGTCTTCGCACCGCAGAAGGTGCAAAGTGATGTTCTGCGTTGCTTATTCCAGTGGGAGGACATCGAACTCATCCTCGGGACCTGGAAATAGGTGGACAGGCCATCGAATGACATCACGAGGTATGGCAATATCGCTACGGCGAGTCGAGACATGATGATCATTGTCCTGCACGCGGAGGGAGGGGATCTCAGAAAGGTCACGGTCGCACCCCGCCTTGTCAATGACCTCACAAACGTGCATGTTGTGGAGGACAAGTTCGGGAAGTGTCTGGGGAAACACTGTGGCATAGAGGGCGATGAAAGTGTGGTGTATTCCATCTGGGAGCGAGAGCCTGGCAAGTTGCGTTCCGTGTGTGGGTCATTCGTCGGGGAGGCAGAAGGTGTGCTTTTATTGGGTAGGGCGCACGCGGGTCTTGTGTGGGAATTATTACTGGCGGGGAATAATGTCATTGCCTGTGACGAGTCGGCAAAGGACATTGCATACTTGACAAAGTTCATCGATATACTTGTCAAGGACGACAGATTCAACTGCCACATCGAGAAACCGCATTGCAAACATCGCCCGAACAGGGACATGTTCCACAAGTTGGGGCCTAAGAGACTGAAGGTGTGGGAGTACTTGTTCCGCGATATGCCACAAGGACGGCTTGACGGGAAATATATATACAGGAAAGCAAAGGCAACAGAGACCCTCAAACATTATCACGGTGCTCTCACTGGCGCCTTCGAGACTTTTGTTGCTCGATGCGAGATCCTCAAGTTCGATCTTCGCAAAGACAAATTGACGTCCAAGGACTACGCGGAGCTCGCGAAATCGGGCAATGGTTTTAACCCCGTCGACAGCGAGGAAGATTCTTCGGACTCCGACCTCGAACTCGGCGAGGACACATGTGCTGAGGTTCCACGCGGTGGAAAGGTGCAAGCTCACGAAGACGGAACTGTCCATTCGCACGGAGGGTCCATCCCGGTGGCCGCCCCAAGCGTCGCCTCAATGGTGGCCCCGTCCGAGAGTGCTGCATTGCAAGACATTGGAAGATGTGGTGGCAATGAAGAAGGCGACATTGAGATACCAGGCGAGGCGTCGACGCTCGCACCAGGCGATGCAATTCCTTCAGGCTACTGTGTTGACCCAGACACGATATATTTCTTGGAGGGCTAACACACCCACACAGGCGAGGATCAGTGGGGCCATGACATCATATGGCATGAGGGCGTTTTACAGTCGTGCATCCAAGATGGGGAGTGGAAGATGGCGGTGAAATACACAAGCGGTTGGAAGACTTTTCGCCGAATGTCAAAGGACATCTGGTTGAAAACGACGGAACTCGCGATCCTGCATCGCGTGCGTGTCGAGAATCCAGAGCAGAGCGAGGCCGCCATCAAAGCCAAGGCCAAAGAATTGTTTCATGTCTTGCGCGACAATCGGCAACATGAGTACAGCAACAAATTTTATGCCCTGCGCTCGAGTCCCTCACGTGGGTCAATCAACTAGAAGGTTGATCAAACCGCCAGAACCTTGGAGAGGAGCTGCTCTCATGATTTCATGCCTTCGGCTGAGCCGGCCTCTGTGGTCGCGCAAGCAGGGCACAGGGGAGATGACGGGACTACTGTTGTCGGGCCTCAAGAGGTTGACATCATGTCTAAGCCGCAAATATCGGAAAAATCCATATCGATCGCCGCGGCACAATCGTCCTCAACCATCGATGTGTCAACGACGTTGCCGCCGGATGCAGGTGCCACGTACGGGAGTTTATTGATAACAAATGCTGCAATGCAAGGCAGATCCGAGATCGAGTCAGAGTCTGATGTTGGGCCGAGCGTGGCGGAGAGTCAGTTGCAACCGTCTTTATGCACTGGCAAAGGTGATGCACAATCACCGCTGACACCACAGGGAGGGGCCGGTGGGGATGGCGGGAAGGGAGGGGATGTGGAGGGTATGCACCGTTCTCATAACCTCGACACCTTAACCGCTGATATTGATTAAAAGGGTGAGGGTGAGTGAGGCGAGAGGGGTGCAATTGGAGGGGGAGAATCCAGTGATATGATTACAACTTCACCTCTGCCTTGTTGAACGAAATTGTGTAATTGACTTGGTTCGTTGTTTTGTTTAAAACAGAATTGGTATTAATCTCTGTAGGCACCAATTCTTCATCGTTTGTCTATTTATGTATATTTCTTTTTTCACCTCAAATTTTTAATAGACCTGAGATGTTTAGATTGACTGCCCGTCTCGATGTACATCTCTCTCTCTCTCTCTCTCTCTCTCTCTCTCTCTCTCTCTCTCTCTCTCTCTCTCTCTCTCTCTCTCTCTCTCTCTCT